CTCCCTAGGGGAGCCAAATCCTGGGCAACTGGACCAGCATGCTTCATATTATATAATCAAGGGTCGGCTGTAAAAACGTCAAATAGAACTATTGGTTAGATTGACTTTTATACAGCATATAAAATCCATGCATGTGAATAGCTACATCTACTGAATAACTTTATCTACCATTTGTAGAACTGGCACCAAGTCTTTTTCAGTACAGAATGGGTTTTCACTATGTGAGAGAGACGTGATGGTCTAGTGGTTAGGGGACCGGACTCAGGTMTRAAAGDCCCGGGTTCGATTCCCAGACCGGACGATCACGTTGTGTCCTTGGGCAAGATACTTTACTCTTTCACTGCCTCGTCTTCTCGTTATAAGGTGGACGTAAAAGAACCACTGAGGACGTAAACAAATCTCTGGCAGTGACCACCCTCAGTGACTTACTTACTTACTTGAACTAACTCACGCTCATGATTGTAAGCCGCGTGGCTGCTGTGGGCCTTAAATAGTGGTCCGACCATTACTTCGTTGTGAAAGYGCATTGAAACAGTGTGATAATATAAGACCACAATTATTATTATTATATTATTATGTGGTGGTAGTTCTGTAACTCGTTTTATTTTTACCCTTTGGGGATAAAAACAAAATGAAGACATTGTGACTGAGAATAGAGATTATGGTTGCCGTATATTCTCATTTCACTTTTTCAGAACGATCAATTATTATAATCTACAAGATAGCATGATACTCGAAACAACATCAAATCCATTTTGGGTGACGGCGTTGTACTCAAACTCAAAACGAAGAGAGCAAGAAGCAGCTTCAAACCCTGACAATGAAAGACTTTGTAATCAAGCGCAGCAGTCTATAATCCACCGTAGGATGGCTATTGGTTTATTGCTGAATGGCACAGGGTAAATACTGGGTTTGCACATGCTCAGTAGTAATAGAGCAGATTTTGACTGATTATCTATCCCACATGGAACACAAGCCATCTGTTGCATAAGGGAGTGCTACTATCTGTCTCTGATTGCTTTAGAATCTATTGAGGTGTACATGAATGATGTAATATTTGCTAGTGTTACATGTAGGTTGTCTCAATTGTAATGATTGTGTTGTAAATCTGTTACAAAACAAGTGGTGTTGTATCAGATTTACAAGGCCAATCACATGACCAAATAGAAAGCTCTTATTGAACTAGAAGTACAAAAATTATTAATGCATCTTATGAATAAATATCTTATAGACAGACAGAAAAGCAGCCTCCAACTTTCCTAGAACTGGATGATCTTTATGAATACTGCATGACAAAAGGCAAAAAGCCTGCAAAGATGTCACAGTTCACTGTTAATGAGTTGCAAGAGATGTTAGATGCCTTTCAAGAAGACTTAATAAACAAGAGAGATCCTATAGGTGCATTTATATATTCACAGGCACTCAAACTTGGTTACTTACAAGGTATTAAGACTTATGACTGCGAAAATTAATTAGAGAGCAAGGTTCGCTTTCCAGTTCTATTTTTGTTTACAATTCTTTGGGAATCAGAATGGCCTAAGAACTCAACTGCAATTGAATTAATGTTATCATAGAGCAGATTTCGTATGAGTGGGAAACCCAACGTATTGTAACGTGACTGTAACTGTACCGTAACAAAAATTGGGATGTCCAATTGGTTCTCTAAAATTTTGCTATTTTGTGATTGGATCAAATTTTCCCAATGCCGTACAGTAACGGTAATAGTAATGGTGATTCTGTTTCGTGATTGGAAGATTTCTCTTGCCGTGCGGTATTATGGTCGGTAACTGTAAGTGCGGTATTACTGTCAGTAAGTCTGATTTCTGATTGGTGCTTAGAAGCTTTTCTCTTTTCTGATTGGCCAAACTTAGACATTGGTACAGTAGCGGTATCAGTGTCCCACTCAAACGAAATCCGCTCTATTACATAAAAGATGAAAAAAGTATGGACATCAGTCATTCCCTGTAGCAAGGGTAAAGAAATAAACATTAAATTACCAACACTTAGAATATCAGTATGGTTTCTATCTTAGTTTTTGAGTTTCTAATACTAATTCAGTTTGCTCAAGTTATCTCTGTTTTTTTTTCTTTTTCTCCTCTTACAGAAGAAAATGCCATTGATGCCAATGATCCATTCAGATCTTATTTTCAGCAGAATGCAGATCAACCCAGGTATAGAACACAACGTGTATCATTTGTACCATGATGATATACATGTAAACGTTAATGTACGAGGCACAATTGATTTATAATATCTTTTTAAAATTGATATACCTAACCAACAATGGAAAGTGTTGCACACTTTTTTTCCAACAATGGAAAGTTCTAAAACAGGGTTCATACTGGTCCTGCAAAACCTTGAAAGTCATGGAATTCAATATTTTAGTTTTCCAGGCCTGAAAAGTCATGGAATTTTGTCTAGGATCATGGAAAGTTATTGGAWATTTTCTTGTTTGYCATTGTRTAATTACGAGTACTATTTCCTGAATCAATTTAAAACAAATACAATATATTGTTGTAATAGCTAGTGCTGATCAATTGAATGTTACCAAATTGTAACATTTTGAAGGTTACATACATGAAGTRCTGCCTTGTATTTATGAAGCAGCCATTTTTATATTTTAGTTATTAAAAAGAAGCAAAGTAAGGGATCAGAAGGACTTTAACAGACTCATACCCAGTCGTTTCCCTTCTTTTTTCTCTGACATGTGCAAAGGTTCAAGGGAAGTTGGAAGAAAAAGTAAAGTTTCTCCCCGGTAGTTCGGACTTCGCACTGTGACCCATTGAACAAGCAAGAGAAACGACTGGGTGCAAATCTGGGACTTTAAATTATCATACTTAAAACTGTTCTGAGTTGAAGTGTATCCACACATGCAAATAGAGTTGATACTATTTTTCGCTGTAACCAGAGCGATCCCAGCAGCTAGAAATAATGGCAGACAAAATAGGAATAACCAGGGAGTGGCATCAGCTGGCCGACGAAGACCAAATAACTACCGGATKTGTGACGACTGTGAAATTGAGCTGGCAGGACATTATTGTGGGGACTGTAACCCACCTCTTTGTCTGTGTGATAATTGCTGGATGGCGTTACATAGAGGTGCTACACGACGAAATCACCAAAGAAGAGGTAGTGACTTCAAAGTGGCT